AGAGATGTTGAGCATTTTTTCAAATGCTTTTTGTCCAGTAATGTGTCTTCCTTAGCGAGTTGTCTGTTCAGTTAATTTACCTATTTTTTAATTGAATTTTTTTTTCCTTCAGGTAAGCGTCTTGAGTTCCCTTTATATACTGGTTATCAGTCCATTATCTGAGACACAGTTTGCAAATATATTATCCCATTCTGAAGGATGTCTCCTCACTCTAATTATTGTTTCTTTTGCTGTTCAGAAGCTTTTCAGCCTGATATAGTCCCACTTTTCTGTTTTCAGGATTATTGTCTATGGTTCTTATTTAAGAAGTTTTTTGCCTACTCTGATATCTCCAAGAATTTTCCCTGTGTTCTTCACCAGTAGTTTTATAGATTGAGGTTTACAATTGAGATTTTTGATCCATTTGAGTTGATTTTGAACAATTTTGTTTTCTTCTTGATTATAATGGAATACCAAAATTGTTATAATGAATTATCAGTAATCATATGAATTTTTAATACAGAAGTAAAGCTTTTCTTGAAAATGGATGCTTAGAATGGTTTCCATTAAAACATCTTTTTAAATTTAATGTTCAGATCTAGTAACCCAATTAAGCACCCACACCTAACAAGACAATAAATATATTCAATGTATGTATATAAATATAAACGTTTTAAGTTAAAATTTGTATGTCACTTACCTGATTGCTTATAAATTGCTAATTCTTTCACAGTTTCCAAAAACTGCCAGAATTTTTCATTACTTTCTTCTGCCATAAATTCACTATGAAAGACAGTTAAGAGAGATAAATGAATAAAAGTTTAGATACTATAAACTACACTTTAAAAGCAAATTACATTTATGGTAAAACAAAACCTGCAAAAATTAATATAGAATCACTGATTTTCATTTACTATAATACAGAAAAAGAAAAAAATAATGATGATTCTTATCCAAGGTGTCATTCTTTAGTATAAGCATATAATCCTGTCAGAAAAAAAAGACATGTGAAATTAATTTTTGTTTTTCCTTATTGTTAGCAAAAACTAAAGAATGGATCATTTATTTTATCTTCCTATGTGAAATACCATTGAGAGGTAGAATTTATTTGCAATGAATGGAGAGCAATACATAAAGGTAAAAAATAATATTTTAAAGAGTACCCATTTTCTTTATAAACAAAAATAGGTTTTATAAACTTTTTATAAAGATCCTACTATATATTATTTTAAGTCAATTACTGATTTGTGTAGACAGTTATTTTTATTATTTAAAACAAATAAAAAGATCTTAATAAATGAATAAGAAAATTGGTGCACTGCACTTAGTCTTTGGACTTAAACCCCCAAGAATCTTCCAATTGTCTATAGAATGCATGAAAGAAAAAAATTGCCAAAGCCATTTAAAACCTTTTAGAAATAATGAAATATATGAAAGATTATTTATTCCTGTATACAACCAAGTACAGGATATCTAAAGCAAGTAAACTATTTAAACTAGAGGGAAAAGGCCACCAAACAGACAGTACAGATTCTTTGTTATGGTTCACCTGATCTTTAAACCAATGCTTAATATAGTTCTTTTTTTTTTTTTTTTTTTGGGAGGCTTTTCGCCAACGACACGCAGACAGAGAGAGACAGAGAGACAGAAAGCGAGAAATAACCCCCCAGGGGGGATGACCACGCCGCAATCCCTTCTCCTCCATTCTCCTCTCAGGATCTTGGGTAAGCACGCACATGCACCTGGCATGAGTTCTAAGCCACTGGGTCTGGGACGCGAACTGTGGTTGACTACGTGGGAGTCCAGAGACATAGCCATTATGCTAACTGCTGATTCCCCCAATGCTTAATATAAATGGTGAGTACTGTGGAGGACATTCAAGAGACATGCAGAGGAACTAATTCTTCTAAGTCTAAGACAGCTACTAGAGAAAAAGATTGATCTGTTAATACAAAGTTGACAAGAAGAGGAATTTAAAGTAATGAAGCATAAGTAATTTAAAACAACCCTTGCTATTAATGGTATGTTAGTGTCTTAAAAAAGAAAAAAAAAAGAAGGCAGGCTAAAAGTAGATGAAACAATGAGAAAAATTAAAGTAAGATATGCTCTAAAAAGGATAGGAATGGTATAAAGCGTTAAGTAGGGAGCAACATTTAATATTCAGTAATACTTGATAACTGCCTTGATGAAAGAGCTTAGCCATGCTCATATACTATGCAACCACAAGTAGAAGACCTATCATATACCAAAACCTACCCATCTAAGTATGAACCTTCACAGTGATCACCTTGAGGAGCCACTCTCTCATAAACCACTGCTCTAAGTACTTTGAGAAGTCTGGAATTTCACAGGCAATTTGCTAGTAACTCATCATTAAGCTCAGGGGAGGAAACATCATTGAGAAACCATCTAAATTATCTTCCAATTTTCTAAAAAGAAGATACTACCTTTGGTCAAAGTTTTAAAATGGGAGAAAACAAAAACAAAAACCTGGAATTTCCAATTTGTTCACTTGACTTTTACAATATTTGTCCCCAAATAACCATTTTTCCCCAGAAAAAATTTGCCACAGAGAAAAAAAAAAAAACATTTCTGTAAAGTTTTTTTTTTTTTTTTATTTTGCCAGGGGGTATGTGCACT